TCGGCTGCCCCTGCCACAGCCAGTGGAACCGTCCTGGAGAGGTACCCATACTGGCAGGGCTGGGTTCAGTCTTCACCATTTTCCACTCCACTGCTGAGCCTTCCTGTGTCTTGAGAGAGTCAGCCTCTAATCACTGTCCCAAGTCTAGCTTGTGATTTTTAAGTTTTCACACCACTCCTCCACTTCACTGTTTCCTTAGTGTGCAGAGAAAGCCTGAAAAATGTGCTCAGAGTCACCTGACATCAGAGTCTCTGCTTGCGCAGAAATTCTGTCCCTTCTCTTAATGCTCAGGTACCCTTTGGATTAGCCAAAGGCCACAGACTAGAAGGTGCTTAAGCCACTATTATACAATAGATTAGGACCCAGCATTGCTGAATCCATTCTGATCTCATCTTCTCATCTTTCCCTGCAGTAGCCACTGAGGGGCTATAACGCTGTGAGCGAGAGAGGCTGTCTGCTGCATCTCGTAGTACAGTTCAGAGTCTCTCCAAATCTCCCACAGTGGCATTCTTAAGCATCGTGCTTGGCTTCTTTGTGCTAGGTAGCTGCTGGTTTGCCATCGTAGATAAAGTAATTCATGATGTAAGATTTTGACTTTCTTACATTACAAGCCGCAAGAATAGCCTTGCTTGGAACCACTGCCTCCCACCAGCAGCCTCCCCACTGCCCTTCTTCCTCTTTCTTTTCCTCCCTATCCTATTCATTTATGATTTGCTTAGGATGTGTTTCCAGGTTTCTCTGAGCTTCACATTTTTTTCCTTTTTTTTTCTTTGCTCTCCCCCAAGTTCTGAAACTGAGTCCCTAACCAAGCTGGACCGGTTAGTATGCCCTCTTTCTTTTCTCTGCACGAGTGAGTATGTGTCAGAGAGCAGTGTAACCAATGGTGTGGCTTTGCGTTGATGCTGCTTCTGTTTAAGAGTCCTCCTGCTTCTTTCTGTTCTGGTCATTGCATGGCTATGGAGCTTTCCATCTGTAATGGAGTAAACGGAGGATTGTAAGTGCACACTTGGTGTTGGCTGTGTCGGACTCTCAGCTCTCTCTTCCTTACCCCAGTCCTTCTCTGCCCCCTCTCTGTAGTGGGTGAGGAGGGGTATTGGGGTAGAGGGACAAACAGAAAAAGTCCTGCCATCTGATAAGTCACTAGAGAGCTTGTTCTGTCCAAATTTGTTTTATGCCCCTATTTCCTACTCCCTGGTTCTTTATCGCTTTCCTCTGTCCCTTAACCCTTGTCTCTCCAGTTACCTTCTCAGTACTTTTCTTTCTCTGTTCAGAGCTTCAGCTGTCAGGATGTTGGTCTTTTTACTATGCCACATTAAACTCAAAGGAGTAAGCCTGGGAGCATGTTACTTGGTTCCCTTTAACAGTTGGGTTTCTGTTTCTTCCCCGAGGGAGAACTGCTCCGTGTTCTAAAGATGCTTTGTGCTACCCCTTGAATGTTGGCAGTTGGCATGCACCTAAAGATACGGTTTGTCTTCTGCCCCGTACTTAGGGACGTCATAGGAAATGCCTTTGTGCGTTTTCTTGGAGGTGTAAGAAAATACAACCTAACCTTGCCAGTGTAAGAAGATGGCTCTAACCTTTCCCTTTGTGTATATCCCCTTTGCCCGCTGATCTCTGGGCACCTGGGCTTTGGGTCCCATTGCATCAAGGCCGTTAAGCCCATCTCAGTGATCCCTGCCACAGGCAGCAGAAGGAAGCACATTTATCCTCTTTGAGGAAGAAAAGCCCTGTCTTTGAGTTCCGGATTATGAACATGGCCTCAGGTTGATCTCCGAGGAGGAGCCAGGTTTCTCCTGGCCTGTAACACAGGAAACGATATGCATGGTGCCTGTGGCAGGTCTTATTGTGCTTTGATTTTGTATTTGGCATTCATTAGCTGTCCCCAAGGTCCTCACAACTATAGTTTGCCTAGGCTAAAGCACAAGGCAGAGAGAACGCTTGTTGTACTCAAGCCAGGTTTCCTGTCTCCTCAGGCTGGTTGTGAGTTCTTTAGAAGCCCTGGAAAGCTGCTTTGCTGTTGGCCCAATCATCGAGAAGGCAAGTTACTTTTTCAAAGCACATGGGAGCTTTCTGAAGAGCCAGGAAGTCAGTGGAATTGTCTAGGCCTTGAGGCCTTGTAGCTAAAGAACATTTATAAGCATAATCTTGATTTGCAGAGACGCTCCAGAGAAGTCTTCAGCTTAAGGCCTTGAGTCCTACTTTTGGAGACAGTGAAAGCATATTGTAGGATAGGATGAGTGGTCATACAAGAAAGCTGTTCTGGGAGCCATGAGCTCGCCTTCACTTCTTCCCTTACACTGTGGGAGGAATTTAGTTTCTGAAGCTCTTGGCAGTCCATGGAGTATATCTAACCTAGCCCTGGTGGCCTGGAGGGAAGGAAGGAAACGGGAGGGCAGAGTATAGATAGTCCCGCACTGGGTTGGTGGGATGAGTGATAACCCTGCTGTCTTTTGCATTAGGAGAGAAACAAGAATGCAGCTCAGGAGCTGGCCACTCTGCTGCTGTCCTTGCCAGCACCTGCCAGTGTTCAGCAGCAGTCCAAGAGCCTCCTGGCCAGCCTGCACACCAGCCGCTCGGCCTATCACAGCCACAAGGTAATCATTCCCGGTCAGGGCTGCTTTTCGTAGAAATGAAAATTGTGGTCCTGTCGCAAAATCTAGGGCCTTGGCTTTGTGTGTACAGAGTACATAGTGAAGTGAGGTGGAGCAAAGACAGCACCCACATCGGCTGAAGTTCCTCCTGAGAAAGAATGCACGCCTCTTGAACTGAGGAAGAGCTGACCAGTGGGCCACTGGTTTGCACTTATTTTTCTGTCATTCAAACAGGATTAGCAAGACTTAAGAAAGCAAGGGAAGGGTATTGAGCTGGTAACTTCTCATTCAGGGAGGGAAAGTATCACCTATGAAAGTCTGTAGCCTGCCGGCCACACTGGTGTACAAGTCCATGATACTGAAACCCGGTGGGAAGGTGCCAAGTTCGTGTCCTGAGGTCTCCCTGCACATGCTGGCTGCTCATGTCTGTGATCCTGGCTGACTAAGGGTAGAAGTGGATTGAGTCTGAGGACCCCGTTGTATGTATGGGGTGTATCTCCCTCTCACTCTCCTGCCTCCACACTCTCTGTGTCATGGAAGAAATAAATAAACTTAAAAAAAGAGAAATCAGCTGCCAAAAGAGGTAAGTTGAGCCAATTTCTATAGATGGAAAAGATGACAGTTAAGTCCCATAAGGCAGGAGGACTCTGGGAAGAACCACCAGCCCAGAAGCCTTGGTTAACTTTTGTGGCCCAACCCAGAGAAATGATAAATGTGAATTTAACCTGTTGAGCCTCTCAAGGAAAGGCAACTTTGTTAACATAATCCTTGGATAATAGGAACTTGCTAAATAAATGACTCTTCTAGTATAGGGAAGAAATCTGGGGTATCGCATTTGTGAAGAATTAGGTGGATTGTAATTTTCCAATCATACTTGAATACTGATTGCATGGTTTTTGAATTTGAATTCATATATATGTATGTGTGTGTGTGTGTGTGTGTACACATATGTATATATATGTATGAATTATTTTTATTTAACTTTATTTTTAATTTAGTCAGAGAGGGACAGAGAGAGAGAGAGAATGTGAGAAAGCAAGCCGCCAGACCCAGGACTCGAACTGCAGTCAGCCATGTGGGAATCCAGCACCTTAACCACCATGCCACCTGTCGGCCCCAATAACTTACTATTTTATGTGCTAAGAAGTTTATATTGGGCTGCCATGAAGATTGATTCTAGGTGGCTGGTGGTAATTAACCTGTTTTGAGACGAGGTACCAGTCCTGACAGCTTTACTCTGCTTTTGTAGCCAACCCTTGCTTGTGGTTGACCCTCTCTCATCCTGTTGTTTATAGGATCAGGCCTTACTGAGCAAAGCTGTGCAGTGTCTGAATGCATCCAGCAAAGAAGGCAAGGACTTGGACCCCGAGGTGTTCCAAAGGCTGGTGATTACAGCTCGGTCCATTGCCATCATGCGCCCTAACAACCTTGTCCACTTTACGGAGTCAAAGCTGCCCCAGATGGAAACAGGTGAACTTGGCTGTGTGGCCGTGGTCCTGAAATCTGTTTAATATACTTACACTCTCATCTTCTTATCCTTACTGACCTCTGACTGATTTCATGCTCTGGAACAGGGATTTTACTCTCTGTTCTTCATATCTGGTAGGCCTTTTGGATATTTAGATTATACCATTTAAAATAAATTCTCTTCCTAGTGCTTGCCCCTTTTATTATCTTTGAATTTATTTAGTGTTCTGGACATTGCCTATAATCTGTCTTTGAAGTTGTTACCATTTTTGATCTTTTTTTTGGGGGGGGGGAGGTTTTCGCTATAGGGCGCATGCGCTCACCAGACAGATAGAGAGACATAGAGACAGAAAGCGAGAAATCTCCCCCCGGAGGGGATGGTCGCGCTGCAGTCCCTTCTCTTCTATTCTCCTCTCGGGATCTTGGGCATGCATGCACGTGCCCAGCGTGAATTTTAAGCCACCGGGTCCGGGATGCGAACCGTGGTCGACTACATGGGAGTCCAGCGACATAGCCATTATGTTAACTGCCGTTTCCCACCATTTGTGATCTTCATGGTAAAGCTAAGCTTGGTTGGACCTGGGTTGCTTTAAAGAAACAGGGCCATAGTTTTTGCTTTCTTGCTGTTCTTTTGTTAATATTTCATTAACATGTGCAATCGCCTTTCTTAGTGCTCGGATTCTGTTTCCTGGGTTCTCACGTTGGCCGGGTACCAAACCTGTCTTGCCATTATCAGAGAGTTTATAGGTGCCTTTATAGTTTCCTGTCATTTACATGCTCCCGTATACTGTCATCATTCTGTTCCTCCTTCTAGTCCTACAGTCCTGGAATCATTCTAGAGAAATCTCAGATGATTCCTTAGGTTTTGGAAGTTAAACAGTTGCAAGTGAGGTCTTTGAATCTGCTATAAAGATCTTGAATGCTCCCCCTTCTACTTAATTCTAACATACAATGTTTTTTGTGATATTCCTTTCCCAGACTGTTTTTTTCCTAGATGTGCCTGCTGGAATCTAGGGATAGTTGGCATATTGATTGGGGCCCCACTTGAAACTCCCTCCCCAGGCAAGCTTCCTTGACCTGAGTTAACCTTACACAAATTAAATTCCATCTCAGATTTACCATCGTTGATAATTTTCTTTGTCCTGCTTAGAAGGCATGGATGAGGGGAAAGAACCACAGAAGCAGTTGGAAGGGGATTGCTGTAGTTTCATCACCCAGCTCGTGAACCACTTCTGGAAACTGCATGCATCCAAGCCCAAGAACGCCTTCTTGGCCCCTGCCTGCCTACCAGGTATCATATTAAAAGGGGTATTTGGTACATAGCAAAGCCTGGTGTAAGTTCTAACGGCTCTGACCCTTTTGCTTTCATTGTTCATTTCTTCCAGAATTAATAATTGGGAAGTTGAAGTGTGAGATCAGCACATTGTGCCTGGGTGGTGTGTGTGTGTGTCCTTACTGGTGTTTATAATTTTTAAAAAAACTCTGAAAACTTGGTTCAAAACTAGTTTAAGAAGTACAGTAAGCATCAGCTTAGAAAATTATTTCCAAACTACTGCTTTCTCACTCTTGTGCAAGTTTGGAGTGAAGAGTAACGATCCCAATAGCAATACAGAAAAGTAGAATGAGCCCAGTGCTCATGTACACTTGCAGGTTACTTGGGCAATAAACTAACAGTTCATGTCATGGTCATACTTTGCTATCACTTATGGTTTGGAGTTAGTAGGGGACATTTAGTGTCTGCGTATTTCTTCACTTTTCCCTGCCTTGTCTTTTGATACCCGTAGAGAGTAGATAGCTACTTATGCCTGTCATACAGGATATCTCGAAAGGCTTTTGCGGATGGTTTGAAAGATGAGGAGACTGTTAGTAGGACAGATCTCAATGCTGACAGTCTGTATTCTGTATGTGCGCATGTTTTCTTTGTGTTTGCATTGCTGTGTGTGTGCTTGTCATTATCTTGTTAGCTTGACCTTTACTTGGGGATAAGAACTCATACTTTTGTCTCAAACTCTCAAGTAGTTACAGGTATTTCCACCAGCTTTTTGGATAATATTTTTCTCCCCTTTAGGCCTAACTCATATCGAAGCTACCGTGAATGCTCTGGTAGACATTATCCATGGCTACTGTACCTGTGAGCTGGACTGTATTAACACAGCATCCAAGATCTACATGCAGATGCTGCTGTGTCCTGTACGTATCGTTACCACCCCAGGCATATCTCCTCAGCCTGGGAATGTCTGGAACGTGTTTTAAGTTTGCTAAACTAGGGAAGTACAATATAGACTTCAAGATGATGAGACTTTAGAGTTTTAAAGACCTTTCTCCATGGAAGAGAAAGGTTTAGAAAGGGAGTGGACTTAGTCTTTCTTAATTAGTGCTGAGACCCCGGAGGCTAGTCTTGCATTTAACTAGTGATAAGTGACTCATTTAACATTACTTACATTAGTGCAGGAATGAACGTAGCTCATCAAGATTCCTGCTTCTAGTGAGCTGTCATAGGAGCCACTGTTTGAAGTACTGGTTTTAGCACAAAGCTAAGATGAGCCCTGTGGCCCTTGTCATCTGTGGAAAGGCCAGAAGCCATTTGCAGAGAACTAGGGTGGCTTTGGGAGCAGCTGGCCTATCACCAGGAACTGAGGGATAGAAGGTACTAAGTGGGTCGTGTGTGTGTCAGGTCAGGAGATGGGGGAACTTAACTTGATGGGCAGCTGGTTGTAAGCAGTTGATTAAGAAAGGAATCATGTATATCATAGATAGTTTGTTGAGTAATCAATCCTTTTACACTTTAGGATCCTGCTGTGAGCTTCTCTTGTAAACAAGCTCTAATTCGAGTCCTAAGGCCCAGGAACAAACGGAGACACGTGACACTGCCCTCTTCACCACGCAGCAACACTCCAATGGGTAATATGATATCTGGGTTTAGGCTCCCGTCTGTGCGTGGGGACGGGGGACAAGGGAGCTGCAGCGTTAGGGTCTGGTACTCACGTGGACAGGGTCTTGGAAATTCTGTTTATATTTTTACCCTACCTTATTCCATAAAGAATTTAAGGTGGTGTATGAAAATGTATATAGTGAGTACAATAAAAATAAAGAAAACCTAGGAACTTGTAAAATAAGGATACTGTGGTAGAATCAAGCCAAGGATATAATTAAGGATATAGAAAGTACATCATAGCTTCTATTGGGCTGTTAAGTGACGATCTTATATTTGACTAGAAGCTTCCTAAAAGCCGCAGCAAAAACAAAATGAAGAATAGCTATAAAAATCACAGTGACCAAAGATATAGAATACCTGTATTTTCAGGAAAACAATACTGTTTCTGGCACAAAAGCTCTCATTAAGAATCCATTTTGTTGCCTAAGGGGTAGGATTCTCAATGGACTTTTTTTTTTTTTTTTTTTTTTTTTGAGAGGTTTTCACTATAGGGCGCGTGCGCTCGCCAGACAGAGACAGAGAGACAGAAAGTGAGAAATCACCCCCCAGGGGGGATGGCCACGCTGTAATCCCTTCTCCATTCTCCTCTCAGGATCTTGGGCACGCACGCACACGTGCCCTGCGTGAGTTTAAGCCGCCAGGTCTGGGACTCGAACCGTGGTCAACTATGTGGGAGTCCAGCGACATAGCCATTATGCTAACTGCTGACCCCCTCAATGGACTTATTTATAATAAATGCAATAGCAGATTGGACAGATATTTCTCCCATGATACTCTTAGAATAGCACATTTTTGCATTTTAGTTAAAGCAAGTCTAAAAGGTGTCTAAGTAATAGCCTTACATTATATGAATGGTTTTCAGAAAGTTTATGGAAAATGCATTATTAATGAAAAAAAACTGCACATAGATTTCAGAATTTTTTTTGCACCAAATAAAGTTTTTGCCATAGGGTGCATGTGCTTTGGTGGGGGGGAGTGAGAACTCACTCCTCAGAGGGATGATCACACCACAATCCCTTCTCCTCCTGGGATTTTGGGCATGCACATCTGTGCTCTCGGCATTTTTTTCAAGTTGCTGGGTCCAAGACTCTTATCAGTAGTTGGCCATGTGGGAGTCCAGCGCCTTAACCACTATGCCACCTGCTGGTCCCATAAGCTTGTTCTTTAATTCTGCTTTCTTCATGAGCTCTGGTTAGTTGGTTTGAGTTGGAGTAATCAAATGAAAATCACATAGGTAATTTAAAAGTTATAGTAGTTACATTATAAAGTGTAAAAAGAACATGAAATTAACTTAATAGGTCATTTAATATGTCAAAAATATTATTTTATCATATTGTCAGTATAAAAGTTATTAGTGAAATATTTTGCATTTTTTGAGTACTGTCTTTGAAACCCAGCATGTCTTAAGACACTGATGACACATCTCCGTTTAGAACAGTATCATTTTAAGGACTTGGAAGCCACATGTTGCTAATGGCTGCGTATGGGAGAGTGTGGTCTAGAGGAACGCACGCATCTTTGGGACTTCCAGACATTCCTCCCTGAATATCATTTATCTCAGCTTTTGTTGGGTTAGGCAGCAGTTGGTGACTCCTCTCTGGCAGGAACCTAGAGTTCAGACAGTTTGTTTCCAATTAAAGACATACTACATTATTTGACACTATTGAGTGGAAGGTGAGAGCACTATAATCATCTTTTTAAAAAGTTATTTAATGTATTATTATTATTGTTATTTTAAAATTTGCCATAGGGCACGTGTGCTCACCAGAGAGAGAAAGTGGGAAAGCAAGCTGCCAGGTCCAGGACTCAAACCACAGTCAGCCACGTCGGAGTCTAGGGCCTTAGCTGCCATGCTACCTCCTGGCCCTGCCATAATCTTCTTACAATTAGGAGCCTCCCCCCCCCCCCTTTTTTTTTTCTAAATTTGTCCAAAGGTGTGTGTGTGCTCACTGGGAGGGAGGGGGGGAGAAAGCACCCTCCTCCCTGCCATAGGCATGGGCACACTGCTCTCCCGTCTCCATTTCTCCCTCCTTTTGGGATTTCGTCATGTGTACATCTGGTGTGTTTTTCAAGCTGCCGAGTCTGGAACTCACTTGCGGTCGGTCAGCTGTGTGGGATCTAGCTACCGCAACTGCCCGGCCGTGGGCTGGCCCTCGGCTTTTTCCTTATTGTGAGATCTAGCCACCACAACTGCTAGGCCACGGGCTGGCCCTCGGCTTCTTCGTTATTGGAAGACCTTTCCACCTTCAACTGGAAGCAGGCCCAGGCAGTACTGTGGTGTCCTTGGTTTCCATTTGATGGTTTTACATTTCAATTCTGGTTGTTCGCATAATGATTATGTAGTGTGAAAATCTCAATGACCTAATTGTTTTAGAAAAAAGTAGAGAAATAAACTCTAAGCCATCATGACAGATGATGCATAAAAATCTCAATTGTATTATTTTTCCTGTCTTAGCCAAGGACTCCTGAGAGTCCTGGGAGTCTGCAGACCTACTGGTCTTAGGTTTCTCTACTTTATGGAAATCTCTTTGAAAACCAAGACCCTCCACCCGCACCCCGATCCCCATCAGCTGGAAAAGTCTATTTCTCTGGGGGCCAAGCTGTTAATATCAGTGCCATCTTCCCAGACCCTTCTAGGTCCAAGAAGCAAGAGAAGGCCAGGCACAGCACCCTGGAGTTTTCCTTCTTGAGCACAGGGTGTGAGCCGGTAGCTTGTCTTGGGTTTTGTTTGTACCTAACTTACCACCTCATATGCTGAGAGAGGAAAGAGCAAGCACCTACAGGTGACTGGGGTTTCTTTGACTCAGGAGACAAGGATGATGATGACGATGATGACGCAGATGAGAAAATGCAGTCATCAGGGATCCCGAATGGTGGTCACATCCGTCAGGAAAGCCAGGAACAGAGTGAGGTGGACCATGGAGATTTTGAAATGGTGGTGAGTGTCTGGCAGCAGGAGAGGGGAGGAGGAGCTTCAGAACTCTCCTCTGGCTCGCATTTAGTGGATTTCCAAAAGTTGCCATTACCATGGGACACTGACGGAGTTTTCTCTCTGCAGTCTGAGTCGATGGTCCTGGAGACAGCTGAGAATGTCAACAATGGCAACCCCTCTCCCCTGGAGGCCCTGCTGGCAGGCGCAGAGGGCTTCCCCCCAATGCTGGACATCCCACCTGATGCAGATGACGAGACCATGGTTGAACTAGCCATTGCCCTGAGCCTGCAGCAGGACCAGCAAGGTAGAAGGCAATGCCAGGAACAAAGCAGCCCTCTGGCTTGCACAGGAGAGAGGGCTTGGCGGTTACTGATATCCAGCTGACTTAGCTTATTCCCAATTTGGGGAGAGGTTGATCTGGGTGAGAGCTGCTCAGAGATACAGGTGGAGAGTGAGAGAGAGTGTGGTGGGAATTTCAGTGTGGGAGCCAATCTCATAGCTTCTGCTAGTTCTTTGAAATGATTTCCTCTTGAATTTGTTAGATTCCTCCAGCCTGTCTTTTGCCTGAGCTAAAAGAAATATTCCACCCTCTCTGTAACTAAATGTGGTGGGTGGATAGCAATGGCTGTTGATTAACTTCCTCTAGGCCAGCGGGGGTCGGTCGCACGCTGGTGTTTAGAGGCTCCTGAGGGCAGCAGGTGACCCAAGCAGCTCTGTGGATGGGGTCCGGAGGGGATGTCGTGCTCACTCTCCACTTGTTTCCCAGGCAGCAGCAGCAGTGCCCTGGGCCTGCAGAGCCTGGGATTGTCCGGCCAGGCACCCAGTTCTTCCTCTCTGGACGCAGGAACCCTCTCTGACACCACAGCATCAGGTAACTGTCCACAGCGAGGAGCACGGCTCAGGGCCCCAGGGCCCTCAGGCCTTGTTTCCAGTGCTGTGAGAGTGTAATGGGCAGCTGCTTTGACAGGCCATTCTAGACTTCCTGCTTCTGCCTTGGCTTTAGAAACACGGTGTGGAAGGCATAGTGATGCAGCTTGGCAACGGTGCTCCTGGCCCCGCTTCCTTACACATGCATGCTGCCTGGCTTCAGCTAATTCCCCAGGAAAGGCCAAGACCGTCTTGCAGGCTGGTCAGTTAGAGGTCTTCAATTACTGCAGTCAGCATTCTTCATCAGAGTTCTAATATTTTAGACAGTATTAAAAGGGCAATAGTAAATAGAGCTCTTAACCCTTTTCTCATCATTTGCAAATAAATAAGCTACAAGAAGCTGGGTCATGCTTCAGAATTCTCGGTCAGTGCCGTTAGCCATCAGGGATCTATGAACTTGAGAGGAAGGGGTTTGTGGACAATTAAAACCCACAGAAAATCCTAAGAACTTATTTTGTCTTTACTGTGATCTCTTTCCTAATCTGAAAAGAAATGACTGAAGATAGAGTTGGACCAAATAAAGGAGTACGGAGCACCTGAAAACACTGGGAACTCAGTCTCTGAGTAGTTTTCGGGGTTGAGTTATCGTTTTTCAGACTGTTGTTTCCCTGGTTTTGTTTCTTTATTTTTTCTTTTGGGAGTTTTACCCTGGATAAATAACAGAGGGAGAGACTGGCTGTCCCCATCTGCTGCCATGGCTCGTTGCTTTTCGTAGGTCTCTTGAGTTGCTGTCATTCCAGGCTTCGGAGTCGCTGTTGTGTCGTGCCAGTCGTATCTCCGCTGTGCTCTGTGGCTGTCTTGGCTTTCCTCCCCCGTGTATCTCATCCAGCGTTTTCCTCCTGTCTCAGCTCAGCCCTGATCCTGGATGCTGTGGCTGTCTCTGGGGAATTTCCTTGCTTCATTATTAGCATCTGATGAGGATGATTAGGAGGTGTGAAATTTCCCAATAAGCTCCCCTCTGGACCACTTGATCAAACAAACAAACAAACAGCGTTGATTCAGGAGCTCATGAGTGATTTCCTAACGGAAGCTCAAATTGACTGATTACAAAGCGAATCTCATTAAAATGCAGACTTCGATGCTTTGAATGGTAATTGCTAGTTTCATATCTCTCAGCAGATGTCAGTAACACCTAGACAGTGGGGACCATGCAGCGTTTAAGCTAGAAAACTGCGCGTCCACGATTGAATCTCTGCACTGTACTAGTCGCACAGTGATGGGACAGCGGAGGAAATGCCCAGTGAGCTGGGTTTTCACTTCTGTCTAAGCACTGTTTGCAATGCGCCGTGTATAGTGTCTGTCCCTGTTAGTGATTAACCAGCAAAGCGGATCTTTCCCTTTTCTCCTTGATGACAGGATACATAACTGCATTGTGTCCTCTGCACTATGTGGTTTGATGCTTTCGCCCCCAGAGGGGTTTTTACCTGTAACAGCTCTCGTTACTCTCTCAGCTCCAGCCTCAGACGACGAAGGCAGCACAGCAGCGACTGATGGTTCCACCCTTCGGACCTCTCCTGCTGACCACGGTGGTAGTGTGGGCTCGGAGAGCGGGGGAAGTGCAGTGGACTCGGTGGCTGGCGAGCACAGTGGTAATGTGCCCGGGGGTCCTGATCTCTTGGGCAGGGGGTGGGGACAAAATAGGGTCCCTGCCTGAGACCTGGGATTGATTTTAGCAAAGAGAAGCAGTGGGGACTTAGTGCAAGTCTTGTGGAATTCATTTGACCTCAGCCCTGGAGTTTCAAATGTTCAGTGAGGATAGCTTAAGCTCAGTGGGGTTAAAACAGAAATATTTTACAGGGAGCTTTTTATTTAATTGTCTGTTAGTGGAAGAAAAGCAAGACATGCATAATTGCAAATCGTCTTTAATCCAGAATAGTTATGGTGTGACCTTGAAACCTGTTGCCCTGTTCCTTACCCACCAGGGGAAGATATTTGGGCAGCCCTGCTGTTCCATGACCCGAGATATTAGCATGTGTGTTAACATAGCAGGCTGTCCCATGCTACACTGGCTGATGAGGAGGGCTCTCAAATGAGGGATGACAAAGCCATTTTAGTTTGACTTTGTAAATTAGTCTGTGGTTATTGGCTGGATAGGAACAATTTTTATGGAGAGTTCTAGATTCCCCTATCAGTGCATGTATCCTGTGAAGTGTAAGATAGAAATTTATTGGCAGCCAAGATAAAGGCTGTTCTTGTAGCTGGATCCTGAGCACTGTAGAAAGGTGGATGGCTGCTGGGAAAGTGACTTGTCATACTGTTGTGGGGTCAGGATCATGAATTCAGTCCTTATTTAGCTTCACATAGAAGAAAATAATTTTAAAAGCTACTGGTTATCTCCCACCCATTGTAGACTTCAGATTGAATTGAGATCTGTCTTGCTTTGGGAGTTGATGTGTGCTTCTTTAACCCTTTCCCTCCAGTATCTGGCCGGAGCAGTGCTTATGGCGATGCCACAGCCGAGGGGCATCCGGCTGGCCCTGGAAGTGTCAGCTCAAGCACTGGCGCTATCAGCACCACCACCGGGCACCAGGAGGGAGATGGCTCAGAAGGAGAAGGAGAAGGGGAAGCTGAAGGAGACGTCCACACTAGCAACAGGTCAGGATCTAGTCACTCACAGTTAGGAGGCTTGCCTGCCTAAGAGTATTTCAGGAATAGCCCAGCTGTAAAGTATTTGTTATAAACATATGTGTCTTCCTCCCTCAACTTTTTCTTATTTTACCATTACCCATAAACATGTTCTGCAACATCCTCTTTTTTTTAAAGAGATTTTTGCTATAGGGTATGTGTGCTTGCTGGAGGGACAGAGAGGGATAGAGAGTGAGAAAGTGAGAAATCACCCCCCCCCTCAGGGAGATTGGCCATGCCCAGGCCCTTCTCCTCCAGTCTCCTCTTGGGATTTTGGGCATGCATGTACATGTTCCTGACATGAGTTTGAAGCCTCCAAGTCCAGGACTCAAACCGCTGTAGAACATGTGGGAGTCCAACACCTTAACCGCTATGCCACCTGCTGGCACCTGTAATATCCTCTTCATAAATGGTGCAGTTTGAGGCTTAACAATAATAGTTATTAGGTACATAATACTAGAAATAGCTACTTGTTCAGCATGTTTGTAAAGTGAAGGAGAAGTAAGACAAAAAACCCCCACATTTTTATGGTTAGAAACACCAAATTTGAAACATTTTGAAATTGAAAGTAATCTACAAATCCTAATCCATACCCCTTAAGATGACATCATGGTGGTTTTTGGCATCAGATTGGTGGAGTGAATATTTTCTTTCTTCCTTTTTTTTATTTTTTAAAAGGTTTTTACCACAGGGTACGCACACTTGCCAGAGTGAGTGTGAGGGAAAGTGAGAAATCACTCTGGGGGTGGGAGGGCACACTGCAATCCTTTCTCCTTCACTCTCCTGGCATTTGGGGTACACGAGTACACATGCCCTGTGTGATTCCCAAGCTGCTGGGTCTGGACTTGAACCATGGTCAGCCACATGAAAGTCCTGTACCTTAACCACCACGTCACCTGCTAACCCCAGAGTGAATTTGTTTGTTTGTTTGTTTTAGAGAGAGAGAGAGAGAAAGAGTTGTTGTGAGACACATATGCTTGCCAGAGAGACAGAAAGTGAGAAATCACCTGGGGAAATGGCCACTTCACAGTCTCTTCTCTTCCACTCTCCTCTTGGGATTTTGAGCGTGCATCTAGTGTGAATTTCAAGCTGCTGGGTCTGGGTCTCAGACCACAGTCAACTACCCAGGAATCCAGCACCTTAACCACTACAGTCCTGAGTGAATATATTCTTAACTAAGAGATGACTAGAGAAATAGGAGGAAGAGGAGCTTAGGAATAACACTTGTCATATAATGTGTGTTGAATTTGTTGAGTACAGCAGTTATCACACTGGTGAAACAGTGAGTTCAGAATTTTGAATTAAGTGATTTCTTTTTTTAAAGAATTATTTTTTTTAGCTTTATTTATTTATTTTTTTGACCAGGGAGGACAGAGAGAGAGAGAAAGTGAGAAAGCAAGTCACCAGGTGTGGGACTCAAACCGTAGTCAGCCATGTGGGAGTCCAGCACCCTTCACAACCATGCCACCTGGTGGCCCCAAATTGAGTGATTTCTATCAGAAAAATAATAACTCTGCCTGACACAGTTCCACGTCAGAGCTGTTTTGAGAGGACATCAGGATGTCTCCCGTGTGCCACACGGTGTCTGAGTATAAATTGCTGGCAGCATTGCTTTCGATGAAGGTGTTCTCTGGGTCTGTTAAATGATTATTTTTGAGGGAGTTTTTTCTTTTTAAGTTTCTAACATAAAGAAATCTTCTACATGATCTTTATTTTTCTTAATGTGATTTCTAGGTTAATTCTATTTTGTTCAGATGATATTCTAATATGCTTTCTCATTTCTGTTTTGGAAATTTACTTTAAAAATTGCTTTTAGACCAGTCTACCTTTGTCTTTTGGTTGAAGCAGCTGAGATAATTTAATCATCCACATTGCTGATGCATTTGAGTTTATGTCTATCACTAACTTGTGCTTCTTATTCTGTCTGCTCCTCTGTTTCTTGGTCATTCCCTTATAGCTTTCTTTGAGTTCATTTGCTGTATTGTATTCCCTTTCTTTTCATTTTTCTCCAACTCTCTGAATTAGTAGGTGTTTACTATGTTTCGAATCTTTTAGTGGTTATACTACTTATTTCAACGTGCACACGTACCTAAAACTAAATTTAACTAAGAGCTGTATTGTCTTCCTGAATAATACGAAGACTTAGAAGACTTTACCCGTTCATATTAATGTGTTTCAATTCTTTGAGTGTCTTTTTCAGGCTTTCAAGGTATTGTCATTCCTTTGTTACAGGTTGTGTAGTTTCTGTGGTCAGTGCTTATTTAACTGTACTCACATGCTTACCATTTCTCGGGCCCAACGTTGCTTTGTGAATGTCAGACCCTCCATTAGGATTATTTTCTTCTAAGGGATGTTGTTTAGATTTTCCTTGAAGGAAGCTTACTGGTTACAGTATTTCAGTTTTGTTTTTTTTTTTTTTTGAGAGATTTTCGCTATAGGGCACGTGCGCTCGCCAGACAGACACAGAGAGACAGAAAGCGAGAAATCACCCCCCAGGGGGGATGGTCACGCCGCAATCCCTTCTCTTGCATTCTCCTCTCGGGATCTTGGGCACGCACGCACACGCGCCCGGCGTGAGTTTTAAGCTATCGGGTCCGAGACGCAAACTGCGGTCGACTACGTGGGAATCCAGCGACATAGCCATTACGCTAACTGCTGGTTCCCCAATATTTCAGTTTTTATTAGCTTGGAATTGTCTTTATTTAACTCAAATTTGTGGATGTATTTTTTTTTGGAGAGGTTTTTCACTATAGGGCGCGTGCGCTCGCCAGACAGACAGAGAGAGACATAGAGACAGAAAGCAAGAAATCACCCCCCAGGGTGGATGGTTACGCTGCAATCCCTTCTCCTCCATTCTCCTCTCGGAATCTTGGGAACTCATGCACACGCGCCCAGCGTGAGTTTTAAGCCACCAGGTCTGGGATGCGAGCCATGGTCAACTACGTGGGAGTCCAGCGACATAGCCATTATGCCAACTGCTGGTTCCCAATGTATTTTTGATGGGTATAAAATATTGTGTTGGCATGTCCACCTACCCTATCTTCTGTTGAAAATGGTATTCCATTGCTTACTGGATTTTGTTATTCCTGATGAGACATCACACACTATTGCCAAGTATAACCACTCCCCCAAACCTTTCAGCCAGCCAGGATAGTGAGCATGTTTCTAGTGTTCAGATTAATTTGGGATTTGTGGGGATCTGAATTCAGATCTTTTTTTTTTTTGAGAGGTTTTAGGTATAGGGCGTGTGCGCTCACCAGAAAGATAGAGAGAGACAGAGACAGAAAGCAAGAAATCACTCCCCAGGGGGGATGGCCATGCCACAATCCCCTCTCCTCCATTCTCCTCTTGGGATCTTGGGCACGCACGCACACGTGCCCGGTGTGAGTTTAAGCCACTGGGTCTGGGATTCAAACTGCGGTTGACTATGTGGGAGTCCAGCGACATAGCCATTACACTAACTGCTGGTCCCTAGGATGGGTTTCTTTACATTTGTTTTGCTGAGTAGTCTTTGGGAATCATGAATGTGTGGGCTAGTGCTTTTAGTAGTACCTGAGAAAACAATCCCATCTATCAGTTTCATCAGATATTGTTTCTGTCTCATTTTCTGTTATTTCTGTTTCTGGGATTCTAATTAAATAGGTGTTAGATCATCATATTCTCTTCTACATGTCTCTTAATGTCTCTCTTTTTTTATTCCTTGTGCTTAGTTATTTATCATTTTGATTAGAATTAAAAGCATCAAATACACAGGACTAGGCTTGAAAGGCTTTTACACTGAAAAGTATAAAACCCAGTGAGAGAAATTAAAGAATGCCTAAATAAATGAAGGAAAATACATGTTTATGGGTGGAAAGATTTGTAAAGATTACAATTGCTTTCAAATTGCTACCAATTCATATAACCAGCTAAAGTTATGTATGTGTCAGAATGGACTAGGATTGCTTTGTGGTTTAGCAGTAAAGCACTGCTCAAGAGAAGCTAAATTCCACATGGTGGCCTTGATTCAAATCCCCGATCTGGTCAGGTTGAAATGTGGGCATTCATCCCAGTGTCCAAGATCCAACAAGCTGAAGGCTGAAAGCAGGGGGTCGTAGTGTGGCCAGATTCTATGTACAGTACACATACATGCACTCTGTCATGACTAAAGGAAAAAAAAAACTCAAAAGCCAATGACTAGTGTTTATTTGGAAGTATAAAAGACTAATTTTAGCCAAGGCAATACTGAGAAATACACATAAAGCTAGAGAACTTTATGCAGCTATAGCTTATTATAAAGCTATGATAATTCAGACAGTGTGATGTTGGTGTAAAGATAGAGAAATACAGATTCCTACATACACAGTTATCTTATAATAAGGGTAACACTTCCGTACAGTGGGGGGAAAGGATGGTCTTTTCAATTAACAGTAGTGGGTCAGTTGGAAGTTTATATAGAATAAAATGAACCTTGACCTGATCTTAGACAATTGAATGTAGCTGCAAATGTAAAAGATAATACCTTATTGGGCTTAGAAGACAAGATATTTCCATAATGTGGGACTGGCACACATTTCTTAAACAGGACACACAAGAAAATAACTGAAAAGAAAAAAAATGGGCCCATTCAGTCGTGGTGGCATAGGTGATGATAATACACTGCTGCTTGATACCGGAACCATGTGGGAGGCCAGGGTTTGGGTTGCAGGTGGATTGAACATTCTGGGTGCATCTTGATTATTTACTTTCTTTTGCTTACTTTTTCTTACTGTTTTGGGTGCAGGTCTGTATGTGCCTGTGATCCTAGCTTCTGCAGCAAAACCTGTCATAGGTACCAGTGTTTCTCTCATGAAAGAAGGAAAGGAAATCCACTTTAAAAAAACTAGGGAAAAAGTGTATTAACTAAACTATAGTCTCAGCAGCTCTTTTTTTCTTCCCTCTCACAAGGTTTGAATTGACTAATTTTTCTTACAGGCACCTTAATTGGGGTG